AGTATCAATAAAATGTAGTATGATAAACAGCTTTTGCTTTTTGCTTGGATTTTGCRTGTTCTTTCCTTCTATCTAAATTCTAAGGGGATGAGCTTTATGTTAACTTCTAACTTGTTCAGTCATTGGTTGATTTGTAGCAATTAAGCTATGACCCCAAGTTACAGAAAACCTGAATCCCAACAATGTCTTTTGAATCTTTTTTTAAGATTTAACTTAAAAGTTGGTTTCTGCTGTAAGTGCATCTTTGTAAAAATCATCATTACATGTAGTTACAATRTGGATTAATTAGCAGATTCAACAATTTTTAGTGAAGACCACTCAATRTAAAATATTATCTTGAGCTGTGAAGATTTGGAACTTTTCAGTGGATTTGCAATATCACACACAATATGCAACATTTGCATTTTGTTTTTTGTTTGTAGATTTTTGACATTTGTTCAGGCTGACTTTTAAATTCTCAACAACAACCATGGGAAGATTGTTGGTGTTCCTTGCTGACAATAACACTCATCTTCCTTTCTGGCATTTCAACTTCAAGCAAGACCTTCGCAATCCCCTTCAAAAGCTTGTCAATGCCAGTTCCCTCRGTAGCTGATGTGATAAACATCTTTGAAATACAGTTATCATATCCCGTCTGCTTTAGTTTATTCATAGCTTCTTCTTCTGATACYGTTGAGTCTTGTAAATCACATTTATTTCTGACTAAAAACAGCTTGGCCTTTGGAGCATCATTTTGGACCTTCTGTATAAAATCTGGTAGTTTAGTGACGCTACCAATATCATCTGTGCTGTATACAAGAAGAGCTACTATACTGTATCTGTAGTATGAACGTGTCAGTTGCTGATCTTTCCAAGAGCTCATTCCATTCTCTGTGTCATAAAGCAGCATCTGTAAAAAAATTAATAGTTATTAAACATTTTTGATATTCCATGAGCAGACAAGATGTGATTGTCTTAGATACAGTATAGAGCAGTTTTATAATTATAATAACTTTCTGTAGTGTTTAAAAAACGAGCAGGAGTGCTTTATCGGGTCTATATCTATATAGTCTATATCCCCGATAAAGCACGACTGCGAGTTTTTTAGACTACTTCTAGAACTTTAACATCCAGAAATCGTTATCATTTTAGAAAAAAAGCTAAAAAATGCGAAAACAGTGATAATGCATATTAAACTTCTACTGAGCATGTGAATTTGCCACAATTGAAAGAATTTTGATCCCACACGTAAGAACGGCTAGTCTTTGCTATGCTGCATGTCTCCACATTGATTCAAACTGATTCAAAACCAAGCAAAGGTCTATGATGCGACATTAAAACTGAGACCTTTGCTAGTGTTGGGTTGCGATAAAGGGCTGATGACCTTGAACATCAGTTCTTTATATCTGATATAGAACTGATTAATAAAACATCAGTTCTATATATCTGATATAGAACTGATTAATAAAACATCTCAGTGCTTTATCGGGATATAAAGGCCCATCATGTGACCCAATAGTTCGATACTCATTGGACTAATAGTTCATGAATTATTAATGAGTTCTAGAAGTAGTGTATAAAGAATGAAAGAGTGTGTTTTATCGAGTAATAAAGATCCGAGCCGAAGGTGAGTTCTTTATACTACTTCTAGAACTCCAACATCCAGAAATTAATTATCATTTTAGAAAAAAAGCTAAAAAATGCGAAAACAGTGATTATGCATATTAAACTTCTACTGAGCATGTGCATTTGCCACAATTGAACGAATTTTGATCCCACACGAAAGAACAGCTAGTCTATGCTATCCTTCATGTCTGCACATTGATTCAAACTGATTTAAAACCTAGCAAAGGTCTATGTTCGACCTTTGCTAGTGTTGGGTTGCGATAAAGCGCTGATGACCTTGAACATCAGTTCTTTATACCTGATATAGAACTGATTAATAAAACATCAGTGCTTAGCCTGTGTACATCCGTTTCTCACCCCTCAAAAAATCGATTTTTTGAGGGGTGAGAAACGGATGTACACAGGCTAATCAGTGCTTTATCGGGATATAAAGACCCATCATGTGACCCAATAGTTTGATGCTCATTGGACTAATGGCTTATGAATCATTAATTAGTTCTAGAATTGGCTTTGTTGTTTTCTGTTAGTATTGTTTTTTAGAATTTTGTTTGGTAGCAGTGGCGCGTGCAAAGCATTCAGTTTGCTGAACAAGGGGGAATGCCCAAACCATTCAATAAAGAGTTGAAACCAAGTTACAAGTTGTGTGGGAGGATCCAGGATTTTTTTGAAGGGGGGGTTGCAAAAGTTAGACTGGTGGAGAGATATATAGATTATTGAGACTAGTTTCGATCCAAAATTTACGGTTTGTGGGCAAGTACCACAGGATTCCCAAGCGAAGTGAGTTTAATTCTTATGAATATGATAACTTTGTTAATCATTGTTATTAATTATAAACTTTTTTTGTTTCCTTTTTCTCTATGTTAAAGATGTAATTAATGGGGTATCTGATGAGTAAAATGCTGCCATAAGTACCTACCAATAACACGTAGTAGTGTTAATCATATCTACCACTTTCATAGAGTGGGTTGCAACCCCCTCAACCCTCCCCATAGATTGGCCCCTGCACATGACCTGGAATGTTGCAAACCATCATTTTCATGGAAATTTTTTTGATTTTTTGATATTTCTTGTAGAATCCAAAGGAAAAAAATCTTATTATACATTATAATAAATAAATTAATAATTTGATAATAGATGTAAGATTAGATTTATTATTTTATCTACAATTGATAAAATTATAGTGAATTGCATGGTCTCTACTAAATATCATATATTTGAAGTCGTCTTAATTGTATAATGTACTTTAAATTGATTATATCATACAATTAATTTGTTTCTCAAGATTTTGGATTCCAGTCTCAAAAACTCTTGGTTTTTCAAAAAAATGGCAAAAGCCTCATGTTTTTTTACAAAAAATTGTACCTGATTTAATGTGCATTGGATGCAAATGTTGTAACGACTTATGAAACAGCAATACTAATTAAGCCTATCAAACATGAATTACAGTGAGTATAAATGATGAAAAATGATGAGCAAGGTAACTGCTGAGTTTAGTCCCATATTAAGCATGCACAATTTACTGCAGCAGAGAACATTTTGAATAATTAATTAAGCTTAATACTATATTTATCCCACATGGACAGCCCATATTGGTGGTTCAATGGAATGAGTTTTATATTATATTAAGTATAAACACCAATGCATCACGTTTTGGTCAATAATAGATAAGTAAGCTTTACTGGTATCATACGATTACAAAGTAGCAGAGAAGTTTAAACAATTTTATAGTATTCTTTTGAATTCCTTTTGTATTGTAAAAATTTCAAAAGAATAAATTTGACGTCAAGTGCGGAGAAAACAATACCTCGGGACTTAATTAAAAGGGTGTATAACTTTTATATGTAATAGGACTCCAYGCTGTCCAATTAAGAAATAATTGGACGAGGAAAATTCCGAGGACTGCCAAAAATTGGACGAGGCCGTGGCCGAGTCCAATTTGGCAGTCAGAGGAATTTTTCGAGTCTAATTATTTCTTAATTGGACAGCATGTAGTCTTATTAACCATTAATTATATAGCCACATATTGATCCCAAATAGGTAAAAGCCAACCACAGCTTTTAACAAAAACCCAATTGAAAAACTGTCCAATTAATTTCTTAATTGGACAGGATTCCAAAATTAACGCAAAATCCAGCTTTTACCTATTTGGGATTAATATGTGGCTATTAATTAACAGCTAAATTAGCTTACATGTAAATACCTCGACTTTCTCGCCTTTATAATCGATGACTCGTTTACAATRGTTCAGTCTTGGCGGTGATGCTTCTAAGGTTTTTGAAATTTTGTTGATAGAATTGAACAGCGATGTCTTWCCAACATTTGCAGATCCCAGGAGAATGACTTTCTTTTCAAATTTATTTTCTGAAGTCGTTTCCTCTGTCATTTTCAAAACGTAACACAGGTAGCCCAAACATTGGAGTAGYTACCAGGACTCAACTCATATTGGTTTTGATTGAAATGATGAGAATGATCATGATGAATAAAGGGAATTTGATTAAACTACGTTCATTTATTGACTTAAAAACGAAATTTAAGTAACAAATTATGCCCAWTAAGTCAGTTCAAAGCTTTTTTGGTCCTTTCCTGGTTGTTTATTTGTACAMAAGTGAAAGTTGTCTGTTTTGMTTTATAACAAATTACGTCATGGTGGTTGTGGATCAGTTAAACCATGTGGAACAAGACCGGTTCATCGGTCAAAGGCCCTCCCAAGCACTTGAAACACTTGTCTTGGCTTTTGAATTCTAAATGATTTCGCACTGAATTCTCGCGCGCAATGGAGTTTTTTTTATTTTTAATTGTAATGTTGGTGGCAATGGAGGCTTGCAATGGAAAGMAAGAAGACAGGCACGATGATGACGATAGTCAACCAAGGAGGTCTTTCCTATTCAAAAACGCAAAGGTATAAACGTGATTTAGCTTTAGTGTTCACAATTGACTTATTTTAGAAAGATATGATGAATAATAGGATGTCACGGACTGARATATTATAGTGAATGTCAGTCAGGAAGTCCTAGTCTAACAGTCCAAGCGCAWCTCGACTCTCCCGTGATAAGCCTAGAGTTGTCCGATTTTGAGCCATATATCTCTGCCCGGTATATCAATTTTACGACATGAAATTCGGTATTTCGAAAAATGGAAAATCTTCTGTTTTTCATTGWAAGTCTAGAGATAAAATAGAAATTTTACCACAACTTGAGCAGGCAAAGATCCGCGGATGTTTTGGTGTAGCACCAAGGTTTTTTGGCACATAAGTCCATTTTTTATAATTGTCCCTGGAACATGCTGGAATCCAATGAAATTTATCGTCAGCGTCCGGCTACTCATACTGTACTACTAACGGTTCAATTCCTCAGACCGTTTTTAGTGTTCGGCAGTAAAACAGCACATTCAAGTGGAAAACTAGAAAAATTCAATAGTTCTTTAGATCAATGAAAGATTTTAATGGCATTCACGTTCTCCGATGCGTGCGTAAACTGTTTTCACRTCAGTTTTCAGTGTCGTTTAACTTTACAGTCAATTCGTCAATAAAAACGTCAAAAATCTGAGTTACAATTGTTCTTGAATAACACATGCATGACAATATTTTTGTTTGAAATCAGCTAACATACGACCTCCTGTTAAACCTGTCGRTTTCTTACAGTTGGTTACACTTCACTTGTCATTACCAAGTACAACATATACCTTCGTGTCGAGTCCAGTGAAATGTGACAGTTTCTGTTGGACCGCAAAAAATAAACATAAACAAATAGATAAATGAAATAAGAATGAAATAAAATAAAAAATGAAAGAAAGCTAGAAAGGAAAAATAAATTCATACTCGAATCAAAAGCGGCCATCCAAAGTTGTTTCAAATTGCTGTGAATTCCATTGCTTTTCTTGTAAAAATATAATGGAGTGCTTTTGGATATTAGAACGACGACTTTATAATATAACTATCGATTGATAAAAATGSATAAAAACTCATTTTCTGGCAAAGTGGACTTATTGTTTGGCTATCTCAGTATTTGCCGTGGAATGAAGACAAAAATTGCTGACAATTTTAATTGTTTTTATATCGTCCGTGATCAGAAAAGCATCGCAGAATATACCATAAAAGCACAGTTTTGTACTGATTATGCCTTGTACAGTGATATCCTTATTAATAGTAGTTTTTGGTATAGTTACAACAGCATGCGTACAAAATGCTTTTCTGTATAGTTTTATACATTTTTTATATGTGGATTATTTTTTCATGCAGCAATTACCGTATTGCCTTGGAGTAGCAGGCCCCCCAGGACCTCCAGGACCCCCTGGACCATCAGGGGCACAGGGTGTTGCAGGAAGGGATGGTCGAGATGGTCGTGATTGCCCACCGTGCAACTGTGCCGGTCCATCAATGACGCCACAACCACCACCAACAACAACACCACAAGAACCGATAACAGTCGAGGCTATCCCATGTCCAACTACAGACACGTCACAGTCACATGTCCCACATCATTCGTGCAGTCATCATCATCATCAAAGTCATCACCATCATAACGCTCCCGTAGAGTAAGTATTATTCCTGTACAATGCGTTAATATATGGTCAGCTGTATGAAATATCGATATCATGCTTAACATGATCGGTCTCAATGGCAGTGGAGTGGTAGTGCCAGCGCAAAAGCTCGGCGCATCCATGAACTGCACCAAATTGCTGTTTTGTCATCAACAGTGCTATATGCTAGCATGATATCAGAGATCGCAGTTCGATTCTAGAAGCAAAATGAACATTCCGCGATTTTTAGTTTAATCAAACATCAACTCGGGTAGCTTGAAATGCACTGTGATGGATACCTGTTATAAGCTCACACGACATTATGATGGCAGGATTTTTTTCACGTATCCGACTCCCCTACTGTAGGTAGTCAACATGAACGAGCACCAACCGCCTTGTATTGATAAAGGACCTCGTTCAATTTGTATTTTTCAGAATATGAATGTTGTAAGATGYCATGACTAAGGACAATCAGGGGCTTCGAAAGGCACTGTGTTACATTTCTATATTAGTAATAAAATAATKAATATTAAATACAATTCCTAACCAGCTAATGTACACATGTGGGCTTGAATTAGAACATCACTGAGTTTTTTCTACTAAGTTAAGATACTTGAATGATTCGATAATTGTGCTTTTCATGAATAAAACTTTGTTAAAAAACACTTTCGTCATAATTTTTCGTTTGTTTTCCTATTTCACACAATTTCATCAACATGGATGATTACAACATRCATGCAACCTCTCAGTATTGATGTTATAGTATCTTGAGTCTAGTCCACATGGTGAAAACCCTAGTGTGAGCGCTAGCTGTGTTGGTGTTTCTAAAGAAACACTTGTGTAAAAAGATAAATTTATAACCGTAAAAAGTAGGTGAAACAACTTACTGACGTTTCACCTACTTTTTTACGATGTTAAATTATTATATTTTTACACAACTGTTCATCTAGTCAACATGGTTTTCTATCTAAGATAGGCGTCAATTTGCTATTTTCTCAAATCAAGCGTTAAGAATATGTCTGAAATTGGTCCGATGACATGCAATCACAGCTATTATTACCATTGAATCACAGTTTTGTCAAGACAGTAGTACTCGACGATAATATGACTTTTGAACCGGGACAAAGTGAGCTTGAGTTCGGAACACTTCCCGAAAGTAAGCTCTCRCCTACGATATTCTTGAAAGCGTCCGCATAACTCGGAAATCGTCTTTTAGGTTGATGCCGTGTTATGGCATGTCCGTATAAATAACATGTTATCGAAAATGTTAAACASAAGCAGCAATCCAGAAAATTGATGTCAATTTGTTACAGTTATAACTGTACATGCTGTGTTTTCTGAATAAGGTGCTGAGCCGGCCAAGGAATTGCCTGCATGCAACCAAACTGTTGTCATACAACACAACAACAGTTAGGTCTGACTGCACGCAGGTTAACCAATGCCCTAAACTGACTATAATCRCCACATTTCAGGGCACCATGTAGTGGCCTGGGTTCTAAATCTCAACCTGCTTTATCATGTGATGCCATCTTGAAGGCCAATCATCTTGCAAAGTCTGGCTCGTACTGGCTGTCGGGAGTACCATCTTACAAGGTATGTCCAGGAAGAATAGAATACATAGATCTGAGTCAATGGTGAGTGAGGTGAACTGGAAAGACAGACGAGAAACAGAGGGGAGTGTATTTTAAAAACGGCCCGCGTACAATTGCTTTTTAGAGTTATAACTAGATATCGATCCAGGCGCGTAGCGTCCTTTACGCATATACGCTATATACTAGTGACAAGGCAATATTAAATTTTTCACAAAAATTACTGAAAAATTCACATAAAATTGATCCTTTTATATACTCTCGATGTCTCTCAAAAAGCTGGAAATCGCATGCATTTCCAAGAGTTATTATTTCAAAATTTCCTTGGGGARGTACAGACTCCCTTGATGTTAGACCCCCAGATCCAAAATATTTTCTAGTCTGTATGAAGTAACATAAGTAATGGAAATGATGATCTATTGTGTAATTCTTATAGCCAGAAGCCATGCAAGTAGACATTATATGAAATCGCCGTTAATGTTAGACCCAAAACATCAGTATACAACATGACCATAGCTAGTAGACTAGTAACTATGACATAGTGAGCTAACGCGGCCATAATCTTTTTCCTTCAGCTAATTATAGTGATGATGACGATGATGGGAATGAGCAATAATTATTCTATTAATCAATTCTCAGTGATTATGCTGAAGGTTATTGTACTGAGTGTTGTGTGAGAACAATTCATCTAAGAACAATTTGAAGAAAGGAATTCAGTGCAATCAGTGTTCTTATTCTCTTATCATTCCTTAGGCTCCAGYGTGATTGTTTAAGGATAGTTGTGGCATGCTTGTCGTACTGTAATATATATTTCTGTTCTAGACATACTGTGAAATGGTCAGTTCYCATTGYTCAAACACGGCGTACACCGGTGGTTGGACGCTAGTTGCGCGCGCGGCAGGATTATCGCCAGATTTTGCTCCTAACAGTCCGTCATGGTATGACGAACGTGTCATAAACCCTCACACATCGGCTGACCTGCAGAACCCTTCGTCCATGAAGAACGCTGGCTGGTTTAGGATTCCYAATAGTGTCATGAAAGTGTGTTTTAGCGGRCCTAACAGCAACTGTGCAACGTTCACTCACAACAAAGGTGTCAGTCTRTCTACTTTGTTTGCAACAATGTTTGCTGTCCAGACTACTGAAGCTTTCACGTTTGAACGATTGATGTATTCGTTTGGAAAGCATTTGGACCTTGGACATCTTAAAACGGTGAGACCTCTTTGACTGATGACTAAAATGTTATTTTGGTATCATAGTATTAGGACCTTTCGTCAAAACGKAGCTTTTTAATGACACCTATGGAGAAGCAGATTTGAAATATTTGTATCATACCAGATACCAGCGTGAGTTTCTCACAGTACTTACTTTACTTACTTGCCTTTGTTCCCATCACTCCACCGGAGTATACTTTGCGACCTCCACCAGACACGCATGTAAAGATTTGGGACATTTGGGGACCAGAATGTTTGTTACGAGCTATTTTTTGATACAGTTTATCCGATAGTACCAGAAGGGAGTACTCAGCATTATATTTTGGTTTATYTCAGGAATGGTGTGGACTCAACCTCGGAAACATATGTAATCTCGAAGCTAACCCGAACACAAATCCAGGCACACATATTGTACGGATAGGATGTATCGGAGACACGAGTATTCCCCGAAGTACTGAAGGCTGTAATCCCGACGATTATGCGATTGGTATTGGAGTATCAAGCTGCAATGACGTACATGGATGTCATAATACGTACGGCATCACAAAAAGTCTTCATTTTAGCGCTTACAAGAACCATTTTGGTGATTATGCCCAAACTGCCTACATATACGTGAAATAAGGACAATGTCACGTGATGACGTGGCCCTGTACCTTGAGTACAAGATCACTTGTGGTCACGACAGGGAGAAACCAATCATGCTGGAACATCGTCCGCTTTCGATGTTTTTTGCTTGTGTTTTTTAATAGTTAGGAGATCGCTTGTGCGATGGCCTTTAGTTGTGCACTGTATATAATGGACTGCACAATAATTGAAATTATCAGGGAGTTAAGGTGGGGACTAGGGTGTTGAGAATACAAAGTGTWTTTTTGTCAGTAAATTGAATTTGACATTTCCTTATCCCAGAACTGAACCCATATTTATCCTGACACGTGTAGATTTGTCATTTTTTTATGAACCAATCGGCCTTTTGTTAAGTAACCTTCAGCCGTCAGGATTTCCAACGCACCCGCGAGAGTATTGCCACAGGAAGCCCATGCTAAGTAAATGTATAAGGGAGTGCATGTACCATTATTGAAATTATAGTTTAATCACTAGCAAAACGTTTGTAAATTAAAAGCTTAGAATAAAAGAAATAAAATTCACTTATTGTCGCGCTCAAAAATATTGTCATCAAAGCATTTTTAAGCGATTTTCGGACCCTTCTTCTTTCCCCTTTTATTCTAAGCTTTTATTTACACAAGGACCAGTTGTGGACTATAATCTCAAGCTATGGATATTCTGCCCCTCGATTCCACGAGTTAAGCTTCAAAATATGTGATGAAGTATACTTAATTGAAAGGATGCATTTTGGGGAATCAATAACAAAACAAAACAAAACAATTCCTTTGATAGAGTTGATTAATATTATTCAATGAAGAACTGTAGATAATATGTTATCTTCTATTGTTGTATGTAAACTCTAATTATCTAATGTATTCTATTATCAAATATTTTCTTGAAATCATAAATGTGTTTCTGTTAAGCATTACATGTAACTAAGTGAATATTTTCTTCCAATAAGTGCATATTTAAACCCCTACTTAAGTGATTGTGGGTATGAAAATAGATGCTTTATATACTTTAAAATATTATCCAAAATACTCTGTGCATAATAATGCAAATACTAAATAGAATAAAAAATATCCCTTCAAATAAATGTGCTGGTTTTATTTCAACAAATAGAGTTGAATCAAGGTCAATATGCTGTGATAGCTGCCTACAGAAACTGGACGTTCCAGAAAAACAAATAATGATTTTTTTTAGTGATGTTTTTTAATGATGTGCCTGGAATTTCAACTTCTCTATTTTTTTATTAATCAACAAAAAAATTTTCAGAAGCAGTGGCTCTATTCACTGAAAGTAGCCCTCCGAGGGGGGCACTATCACCTTAATACCTGGTTGACTTTCAACCAATGAGTGCAGAGGAAAATTTGTTGTTGATCTTATAAAAATCACATGGTTAAAGAAATGTTACTATTGTATTTAAATTTTAGTGCTAAGAATAAAATGGAAGAGCTTGCTAGATTTTATACTGATTAAATAATTATACTTGATTTGTATGAGGTTTCAAACAGTTTTCATAATGGATTTTAAATCCTCATAGAAATCTGCTTTTATCTAAGACATAACAAAATGCTTATCCCGATTGCCTCAAAGCTGCCAGTTGTATGAATATGCACACCAAAKAAAAGGATTTGTCAAAGATACACTGTAATCAAAAGCCCATATGATGAGATTATAAGATGCATTATAAATTGTCATACCCCACAGAGCTCAGTATACCATAGACAACTAACCTGAGTATCAGGCTCTCGGGGGGGGGGGGGAAGGTAAGGAGAAGGGAGAGCTTCCTTTTTCCCTTCCTCTCTTCCCCAGGCCCCCTCAAAGGCCTGATACTCAGGTTATAGACAACAAGATCTGGTGTGAAATACTCCATTTTCGAATTCTCTTTTGTGCAAGCTTCGCTTCAATCAAGCAAAAATTTTTATTGTCTTTGTAGACAGAGTGTTAATTTCCATTTCAATAGGATCTGCTGAATAAAAGAATATATTACTACTTTCGAGGTTAASGCTGCACAAATAAGATCTCAAAACTGGAGTATAGAGAGATGATCACATAAAGCAGGTTTTAGTCAATATAATCAGCCATTGTGTGTTATAAAGAGGAACAACAGCCATTCTTCCATTGTTTTACAGTTGGATTAGGTGTTTCATCCATTCCAACACTTATTGAACGATCTTTTTCTTCACTTGACCTCAGATCTCCACTCATTAACACTTTGGATATTTGATCAAATGCTTGAGAAATACCTTCACCTGTTTTAGCTGATAYCTGRAACACCTTGCRACAATCATGGGAGCTTGCAAAGAGCTCCATGCTATCAGAATGAACAGTTGAGTCCAAGTCAATCTTGTTGGCAATAATAAATTTTAAAGCCTCTGGACAAAATTCTTCTGCATCACGTACCCAGTGAGTGAGGTACTGCAGTGTGCCAGCTTCATCAACACTAAACATCAACACACAGGCATGGGCTCCTCTGTAGTAATTCTTGGTAACAGTACGAAATCTCTCCACACCAGCTGTGTCCCAGATACTAAGCTGCCAAAGTCAAGAGATAAATCATAATTAGAAGTTTGACATTGTGTAAGTAAATGAACATAGACAAACAACAAGCAAAAGATGCAGAAATAGATTGCTGGTACATTAATCAGCAGTAATTAGCATAAAAGTAGATAGTAGATACAGTGTGGTGTAGTGCCATGTTACAACCTGTTTGTAATGCTCAAAGTATACAATACATCTATGCTTTGTGGTTTTAGATCAAGAACAACAAATTTTTCAAATAGAGATACATTCGGTCTGCTTATTTTGTGTCTGTGGAAATATAAAACAAGTAATACTGCATACAACTTTCTTAACGTCTGGCGATCACTTTGAATTGACTTTAGGTTAGAACATTTTATGAAATCAGGAGTGTGTCAATAGGAGGGCATACAACTCAAAACTGTGTTCAATTGAATGCTATATATCATACCAAAATTTAAACATGAAAAAACAAACCTGTAAACCATGCTGCAAAATTGTTATCATCACAAACGTAATGCACTAGCCCCCTGGGCCAGGAGGGCACTGAACGGGAATGTGACACGTTTTTTTACGTGCTTTTAACAACAACATTGTCCCGGGGCTCGGGATTTTGATGAATTGTTTTCGAAGTGGGCAAAGAGCGGGAATTTAACTCTCTTTTAAAAATGTATGAGTCTGGAAACTAGACGTCGGTCATCTTGAGAAATACCCTGAATGCATTGGTTTTCATCCCCGCTTTTTTATTTGTTTATTTTTCCTTGCATAAAATGATTTTAAAAGAAACTTATTACACGTTTTTCTCTGTCCAGTAAACCTCATGTAGTACGCAAATGGGTACACAGGATTGTGCAAAAATTAACCCTGTGTATCACAGAAAATTTGGTTGAAAGGTGTTTGTTTTGTTATTTACTACTAGACCAAAACAGCAGGACAATAGTAGCRGGGATTTYAACAATGAATGTGCCTCTGAATACTGGGGGAAATGTTTCATTTTAACACCGCTCAAACGTTAAATTCCCCGGTATTCCCCAGGGGTCGGGGGCAGAGGTTTCAATTGATTAGTGCATAAACTGCAGCAAAAATGAAAGTAAACTAAAAACTGATTTCTAAAATCAGTCAGAAAGCATCAAACTGATAACTTTATCCACTGGCATTAGCCTTGATCTTGCCTGATAAGCAAACAATCAGCAGAGTGAGCTATTCTACTGGAATGCATACGTTCTTTCCATATAATAATAAAAGTATTATGTCACAGGTTTCTGCATGGGATCGAGGTCAAAACCCTGGGGTGACCGACAAAAAATTGTGACATATTTAGCATAATTAAGACACAGACTCCCATGATCTATACCTGTAGCAATAACGCTCCCAAAAGATTTCAAAATTTAACAATTAAACCTTTTAGCACAAACCTTCTTATGCATACAAAATATTGACAAATATGTGTCAGACGTTCTAAATCTCTCCTGTCAGCATCGTATAAGGATACCCGTACAAGACTAAATTGTCACGACAGAATCATATGTTCCAGCTTCATTGTGAAATTAGGTACAACGATGAAATGAATTTTATTCAAACCACGACGCGTTATTAGTAACACATAACCGAGCAGCAAGGGTTAAAATAAGCGTAAGTCTTATAGGTTTCTAGGTTATATAAGTAATCAAGCTAATATTAATATACTCACCGTCAAATTTTGGTCGTCAACTTTCATGTGCTTTGAGCAGTTATCGATTCCTATCGTGTTACGCATATGAGGGGTAAACGTATTGTCTTTTAATCGAAAGAACAGCGATGTTTTACCAACTCCTGCTTCACCGAGGAGTACAATTTTGAACATTGGACCCCGGTCCTCGGTGACCACCGCCATTTTGAAATGTATATGTCAATATATTTACCCACGCCTCCCCACTCTGGTTCTTTTCGTCACGTAACTAAATGAAATAGCATGACCTACTCTCCATTTCTCGGAGCTTATCGGGACAACATTTATATCCCAGATAAAGAGAAAATCTGACGAGATGTCAAGATGACAAAAAAAACACTTCAAATATACCATCAGCTATTCGAAACTATCAATAACGTTTTATCAAAATCTACCTCAAATCCTTTTTATGAAGAGCCCATCCCAGCTGAGCTCTAAGGGACTTCGGCCACGCCTCCACATGAGGCACGGCCCAGGCCTGGCACGGCCAGTAGGGATGGTATGGCAGGATGCTCTGTAAAATAGCTATGTGGGTATCTTCCTGGCGTTGCAGTGGCCGGTCCAGAATGTTACAATTTTTAAATAAAAATAAAAATAAATAAATAAAAATATTATTTATTTATTTCACAATTTCTATTTCTATATCTACTGTCACTCCTTCTGAACCCAGCCTTGCATTGTAGGTCTATATTTTGCGAACCATAAAAATAAAATCATACTGATTCTACAGAATATGATATATCAACCTCGTCTCTCCACAGGTCCCCCAATAAATAAGACAATTTTTTTGAACGGATGGGCTGCCTGCCCTACTTGGTGTTCGCTTCCGGTCATAATGGCGACATCAATGATAAGAATTCCTCTTTACAAAGTTATCCTTGTTGGTGAAGTTGGTGTGGGAAAATCATCGGTTTACACTCGTTTTAAAAAAGATTTCTTTAACCCCCTTGGAACGCCAACCCTCGGAGTGGACAGTTTTACTGAACAGGTTTTAGTGGACGGTGAGCATTGCAAGGTGAGTTGGGGACTAAATTAGACTAAGTTAACTGGTATTTTGACAAGCTTAATAAGCCTATTGTCTACTATGTTTACTGTTAAAACAATTTTGCTAATAACTGAAATATGTACTTTAGGAGTTAGTAGAAAATTGAGAGAATCGTTTTAGCATATTGTGTGCCCACTTGTGTTGTTATATCAAGATAAGCTTAAATCATGTGGCGACAAAACGATGTGTGTATAAACAAGACCAAACAACACATCGGCTTCCTGGCCCAAATATGTCCGTTTTTCATTGATTCGTAAAATGAACAGAAAAATTATTGTTGTCAAATACAATGACTCAGCTCTCTCAGCTCTCTCTCTCTGTCAATTGTAAATTTGACTGATCTAAAGTGCATGATTCTGTTTTTTGACTGATCTTAGTGCTGGCTGGATGGTGGTATGTGCAGTGACAGCATTTTGTGYAACAAAGCATGATGGGAGTTTTAGGGACTGATCGTATCTTACATCACAGGGTGGGGCRGTGTTTTTTTAAGCAGATGCATCTGCTCTGAAACATATCCCCCAATGTGAATTACTTTTCAAACTATGTATCCCCCATCATAACCTTACTTATAAAATTGTACCCCAACCGCCTCAGAAGAAAGGAGAAAAAAATAAAAGTAAAAAAATATCAAAATTATTGTTGAAACTTAATTATAAGTTTTTTCCAAGTTCTTTATCAATAGAAGAGGCAAATTATGGGATTAGATATATGGATGAAAATGAGCAGACAATATAAGAGTGGATGAATGGATAGAAGTGYATTTAAATTTTGGTAAATAGATGGTAAACAATGGATCAATGGATTTAAAGAAGGAATGGATGGAAATAAGTAGAACGATAAGCAAATTTAAATGAGAAATAGAACAAATTATAGAAAGGTAAGAATGATTAAATAAGAAATAGAAAAATGTAAGAAATAGAYGGAAGAAAAGAATAGTAAAAATAATAATAAAACGCCCGGCAATATAATATGTAATACATGTGCGGGATGAGCTTCATAWAAGGTCGCTTGGTGATCTCATGGGAGAAAAAGCGGAATGTGRAAAATTATTGTAAGTGATTTATACAGTGCTTAAGACATCCTTTCAAAAAAATATACCCCCTCTGAAAGAGACATTTAAAAAATTGTACCCACTACATAAAAACACCGCCCCTCCCTGAGTGTAGTTTTGCGGTTTCTACAAAAAAAAAAATTGGTTTGAGTGAGATATTTTAGGGGCTATAAAAATTGCAAGGACTAACAGCTAACCATCTTTACGAGAAAGTGCATTTATTATGTCAAGGCGGGGTGGGGTGGGGGGAGGGGGGGTATGAATATGTTAAGGAAAAAAATATTTAACAACATTAGGGGGCCTTGAAATGAAATGAATACCGAAAAGGGGGCCCATATAATTAATTCTGAAAAATACCTAAAAATGAATATCTTGAAAAGTTTGTTGAAAGCCACACAGGGGCTCAGAAAATTAATGTGATAATGTACTTACCATTCAATAATTAATGTACTTTCCCAAATGATTACARCTACTAYCAATGCTTTGTTGTRCAAAATGGCATCACTKCACATTGCYWWT